GCTGCCTATTGTATGCTGTACCCATGATTGCACAGTTTTCACCTGTTCCTCCATTATTGCTAATAAGGGAGACACTCAGACAATCGTGGCATTTTTACTGCATCTGTCTTTGTCAGCCTCACAAGCTCACTGCTGATGATTGGACGTTTTCCATAATCTCTAAGCAATCCTGAACAACTGCTCCTGTTAGAAAGTCCACGATATTAACTCATTATTTGTCGATTTTCAAATCAGAATCAAGCAGCACAATCCAAATCGATGACAAAACTTGTAGCTCTGAGTGTGAAGGTCGCTGCCTGTTGTCTCCAGTAGCAAAGGAGATTTTAAAACAAACTGATCCATGTGGACCCATAGTCCACATCGGATGTGTCAGACTAAACTGTAACTACATCACAGTAAATTCATGGAGAAGAGGTGCAACAAAGTCTGGATGCAAAGCTCTGACCGTAGTCCCACCATGGTGACAGAACTGTGTGAAGGTTTTAAATAGTTTGGCCTTTTGGATTATTGATCACTCTGATACTCATTCTGCACCAAAGTCCAAACACCCAGCCAAGAGCCCAGAGATACACCACTTCACTGGCTTGACTGTGTTTCAGTGTGTGACTGTCTCACTAGAAGAAACTAGTTAGTTGAAGATATGCTGGCTGTGTAACGTACAGAGTGGATGAATAGCGGTACATGTGTCAGCGTCAAAATATTTCACACAGCTGGCTCCACACCTGGCAGAACAATGTGATAAAATAATTTCTCTCCTATGGTTGGGATGAAACTTCCATCCATCCATCAATAAACAAGTGCATTTCTTTGTGTTGAACACTAGGGGATGGTTCAGGTATTCATCCATCCATCCATCATCTATACACCTCTTAATCCTCACTGGAGTCTATCCCAGCTTCTATCCCTAGTTTCTCCTTTTGGATTGTTTATTATTGATTTCAATATCCGTGACAAAGCCAAAGAAATCCCAATTAAAACAAAATATATCTAATAAAAAGAAAAACTCTTTCCAGTGAGTTATTTTATCTGCAGGTATGTGGATGTAGATAATGCTTGTTCTTTCTGTGGACATGCTAGTTCAAAATAAATGAATAATCATCTGTAATTTCTTTTAATGATTTTTTATTTTATTTTTTTTAAATCCTTTCATTTAAAAAAAATATATATTTAGAACTTCTTTTTTGTGCTGGTTCTTGTTTTGTGCCTGATGAGCTGTATAATCTTAGTTGATTTTTATTTTATTTATTTTTTAATGTAGTTTTATAAAAGCCAGAAGTTTTAATGAACACCGAGCTGTGAGTAAGTCACTGCATCAGACTGTATTATTGTGAAGTTGCAGCAGGGCAGAGGGAGGAAACACTGAGAGGAGGCTGCTGGCCGCTGTGTGTTCACTTAATGACCACAGGATTTATTCAATAAGCCGTTTGCTTCCTAATTAATGCTCTAATTAGTCTTCCTTCCCGTCACTGCCACCCAGCCCCACACACACACACACACACACACACACACACCTAACACAAGTGAGGTGGCGACCTTGTGATAACCTGTGTGTTCATTGTTCAGTGGCCATGGCTCAACACACACACACACACACACACACACACACACACACACACACACACACACACACACACACACACCTACACACACACAAACATAGAGTGTATAAGGATGCACACAAAGACACTATGCAAGTACACACTGTGTCACACACACCTTGGCCATTACCATCCATAGTGCAGGTTACCTCCCCCTGACAGATGGATATTATCCACAAAGACTCAGATTGAATATATTCATCAGTGGTCCGACCCACGCCGCCTTAATGGCCATTCGGATTTAATTAATGAGAGTGAGGGGCGGGGTGATGAGGAAGGAGAGAGTCGGGTTGTGCAGGGGAACAGGACATGAGCCCATTCACAGACACAGACATGGAGGGAGTCAGAGGTCAGAGAGGCAGAGCTGGATCAGGATTGGGTTTCTGTACTTTACTGACCAGCAGCGTGAGATCTGACCGTGTTTGTGTACGTCACAGCTCTGGAAATGAAAAACAAAAAAGCACAGGTTTGCAAAGATCGTGGGAGCAGACTGTCTGGCCGAGCAAACAAGTTTTTAAGCTTGTCTCAGTCTCATCTGGAAGTTAATGCTCGTAGGTAATGTCCAGACTTGTAGAGGCAGAGCTGTGTCGCTGCACTCCTGAATCAGCTGCTTAATATCAGAAATGACTGAGCTTCTAATGAGATGTACTGCATTCCATGTCAGCAGTGTGCTTTGTTGTATTTAATGCTCGTGGCTGAAGGTGAGAATTTAAATGTTCAGGGGGAGGAGTGAGCTTTTTAGAGAGAGCTCAGTGTCACTGAATGTCTCTGTCGTCGTGACTTTAAAGCTGCACAAACCCATATACTCATTGTAACATTAGATTAGTTGACCAGATTATCAGTTTTAGCCCCCATTAACTTCTTTACTGCAACTTAAAAAAAAAGATAATTTAGATCTAGCACATTTAGCATTTACATTCATCCAATCACAGATATACAACTTTAAATAAATGCTGATGTTGTTCTGTGTGCAGACTGTATGTGGACAACTCAACATGACTTGTGTCCAGACGTGCTCGTGGGAATGCATGTTCAGTACGTGCATGTGTGTATTATTATTCTGAATACAGCTTTGTCCATTTGATTAAGGATATTTTTGCTCTGCTAGAATATCTGTAGGTTCTGTAGGAGCAGCTGCAGAAGGTGATAATATGCCAGTTTGATCTGCTGCCCACAACTGGCCAAACAGATCTACTTCTCTGATCTTCACAGTCACGGCCCTCTACATAAGCTCAATCCTATTGTTTCTATGCATTTTCAATTTATGCATATTAAACTGTGGAAGAACAGAATAGTGAAAGTTTTTTTTTTTTTTTAAAAGGTTTTAGATTTGACTCTGGTAAAAACAAACAAACAAAACAACAGATTTTTCAAATATGACGTTTTCTATGCAAAACAACTTCCATATTCTCTGAAGCTTCCACTCCACTGAAGAGACAAAAAGTAGATGAAAACATCAGATTTGTGTTTAATGACGAGGAAACTCTGGGCTTCCTCACGTGAATGCACAAGACGAACAAAAAATACATTTTTCCATCATGTGTTCTTTCCCACCGTTACAGACTACCGACTAAAGCTTATGTCCTCAGTGTGTGTGACACCGCTCTTAGTCCTCAGCCTCCTCGGACACACAATAAATAACTCCTTATTATTCTGTGTTCCAGATGAATTAATATTTACAGAATGACTAAGTCTGTGTTCGCTTGTTGATCTTGAAACTCATTGTGGTCAAACAGGCACAAAATGTCCTGTTGCACCAAAACACAGTAACAAACATAATCATGTAATAACGTTTCCCTTCCAGACCACGGTGTTGGACGGGCTGACAGAATATGTAGCTGAAGGTAAAGCAGATGAAAAGGCCACGATGGTGTCCGTAAACTGTGCGTTTTACTGTTGTGTGTCGCCACCTTGTGGACAAAGGAATGAAAATGGACATTGTTTTATTTAAGAGGTTCTCGGGATGACACTCCTGGTTTGACTTGAAATAAAGAAGCGCTGAAGATAGTGGTTTCACAAAAAGACATCTTTTTGAGGCACAAAAACTCATTCAGAGTTGTGTCTTTTTTTTTTCAGTCGTCTGGAACACAACAGAAAACAACAACACTGTAAAATAACACAAACAGACCTTTGTAGTAAAAGTGGACGAGGTAAAGCAAAATGTGTTTCCTATTGTAGATTTTTCTCTGATAGCAACTTTGCAGATGCTTCACTTGTTGCACTTGTTGGCTGCTTTTTATTTCCTTTGCTCTCCAGCTCATCCTGAACCATCTCAGCTGGGCTTATGTTCGTGATTGTGGAGGTCATCTGATGCAGCACTCGCTCAGCTTTTTGTTCAGACAGTCCATACAGAGAAGTATGGCTCACTGTTGTGCTGGAAAAATATCCATGCTCAGATCAGACGGGATGGTGTGTCTCAGCAGCAGAATGCTCTGGTCTGCATGCGAGTTAAGTGATGCCTTAAATGCTGAACAAATACCCAACAGTGTCACCAGTAAATCTGTGTGTGAAATGTGTTCCATTTCAGTCAAAAAAATGAGTAAATAAAATACAATCAAATAATCTTTAACCAAGAGGAAGCTTTGTTTATTAGTTATTAACCTACCGGTGTGGTCATTTCATGTTAAACTGTAGAACTTGTGCCTGTTTCTGTATGTTGGATCCTGATGGATGTAGTCAGAGAACGTCTTTTTTATGTGCAGTAGAGCTGCATTAACAGCTGTTGTTGTGTTAGTGCGCGATGATGAACCCTGTAAATAGGTTTTGTTTTTTGTAAACACTGTAAATCCCACGAAGCAAATGATTGGGATGCAGGAACCAGAAACACATTTACTTTAAATGTAAAAAAAAGAAAAAGAAAAAGAAAAGAGGCTTTTTTTTTCATTTGCAGTTTATTATTTTTGTTGTATTTTTGTTGTGGTTGCAATATTTGAACTTTCTACACATGACACGAAGAAGTGATTGCAATATTTCTCTTAAAAATGTGATATTCTAAGAGGGGAAAGGGCTCTTAGAAGTGGAAGTGTAGAAAGCAAGCAGGGTCATGGTTTGGCTGTAAGTACCACTGCTCTGGAGCCGAGGCAGGTTCACCATAAGAATGTGTAAATTATTGTATATATTTGTCTTATTATGTTGTTTTATTTTTTATTAATATTTATTGTATTTTATTTTATTCTTTTCCTTCTGTTGTTATTTTACTTTATTTGTATTTTATTTTATTATTTTTTTTCTTTCTTTTCCTATTTCTATTATTCCTGCTAATTCCTAGGGTCACACCAACAGCCGAAATCAAATTCCTTGTGTGTTGTGTACGTACTTGGCCATTAAGGCTGGTTCTGATTCTGATTCTGGTTCTGATAACTTAAAGTTAAAGGGTATTTCTTTTTAACTCTGCTGAATCAGTTCTGCTCTCGGACGGAAGGGGGCGCTACTGGTTCATGACAGGCAGGAAGTCGTCATCAGGTCACAGGAGCAGCGCGCGAAGAAGAAGAAGAAGAAGAAGAAGAAGACGCACCATAGCAACGGAGAAACAAAGATGGTGGTCTCAGCTGCTGCTTCAAACTTCTTCTGTTTGTTTTTCTTGTTTACTGCCGTCACCGCCGACGTAAATAGCACCAGTTACAGCTTTAATGCCACCGCGTCCGATGACCACAACGTTACGGACACTTACACAACACAACCGACAGCGTTCGAGCCGACATCGCCGACACCGAGCGACAGCAGCACCGAGGAGCCGGTCCTCCCCGGAGAGCCGCTGCCCGAGTCCGGCCGCCTGCTCACTCCTGTCACCGCCGGTAACACACCACCGTTCACCCGAGGCTTACTCAATTATCTGTACTTTTTGTGTTTTAGCGTGATAAAGTCAGTCGTCCCACTATTTGCTAATGCATGAGGACACAAGCTACGAAGATACGTAGACCTACACTGTCAAAGAGCGAGATAGTTAAGTTTCAAAGTGTTTATTATGGAGTATAGTTTACCTAAATCATGTAAATCTAATTAAAAACACATCAATACACTATTATTATTATTAGATGGGCCAGAGGGAGTAAGTAGCTTTGATGTAACATTTCCTCACCCAGCTGGAGAAACTTAAAGACCAGAAGAAAGAAATGGAGCTGATGTGAAGCGCCGTTTTAACCTGAGCATTGTGTGTGTGTGTGTGTGTGTGTGTGTGTGTGTGTGTGTGTGTGTGTGTTTCAGTTGACAGTCTGTGTCCCTGTGATGAACACAAGGATGTGTGTGACATCAACTGCTGCTGCGACAGAGAGTGCAGCGAGGACGTGGCTCTGTTCACCAGCTGCTCGGTCCAAGCTGTCAGGCAAGTATCCCACCTGGTCCAGAGAGGGAACACCGAGTCTTAGCTTGCTGTTGTTCATTAATAGAAGCACAGATGAAAGGCTTGTTCTGTTGGTTCTGACAATTCTCAAACAAAAAACACTTTTGCAAAATTGAGGCTTGGCACTGATGCAGGCTGCACAAAACAAAAACAGGGTGGAGAAGTGAATACATCCATCCATCATCTATACACCGCTTAATCCTCACTAAGGGGGCTGGAGTCTATCCCAGCTGACTCAGGGTGAAGGCAGGTTCACCTGGACAGGTAACCAGTCTATCACAGGGCTACACTTAGAGACAGACAACCAAGCACACTCACATTCACACCTACGGACAATTTACAATTACCAATTAACCTCAACATGTTTCTGGACTGTGGGAGGAAGCCGGAGAACCCGGAGAGAACCCACGCTGCACGGGGAGAACATGGAGACTCCACGCAGAAAAATTCTGGTGCCCCCACCAAACCCTTCTTGCTGCGAGGCAACAGTGCTACCAACTGCACCACCCTGCAGCCCTACTCCTAATACAATAACTCTTTAATACATTGATTTACTCCAATTACATTTTCTGTAGAAAATTCTAATTTGAAGGCCACCAGAAACAGGAGAGAACTTTACCCTTTAAACCACTGGAATGGCTTCTAATGCGAACCACATGTTCAGTGAATGTCCAGGTTCTCTGAATGCAGCTTAGTGGTGACGAAAAAGGCAAAATGGAAGTCACTGGGGATATGTCATTAGTGAATGAAAATAGCATCTATTTTGGCACAGAATACCTGAATATTCTTCTTCTGTATTAGTGTTGTATTAACAGTGTTGTGTCAACTTTCCTTTATTGTAATTCATTTACTTTGCATTATAAATGAAATGTGTGCTGTTTATTATGTATTTTCAATACTTTGTAAATTCTAATTTTTATTTTACCTTGGGACCCCAGGAAGACTAGCAATCCCTTTGTGGGAGCTAATGGGGATCCTAATAAAGAATAAAGAAGAAAAATGCAGTTATTAGTGAACAATGATGCTCTGATTAATTAATTATAATGGAAATGTACATTCCTGTATTAGACTATGCCACTAACAGGTACACATAGAGGAAGTCTTGCAAACAACAACAACAGCAGCAAATTAAAACAGGAGGTAGATCAGAAAGCAATGAGTCTTTTTACTAAAAGATGACGAAATGCCAATAAACAAGGGAAATTAGAAATGTTGTTTCTCTCTGCAGTTAAAAAAAAAATAGCAAACCTAAGTGGGGTTTAGTTAATCCAGCTGTCCTCTGTGTCCGTTTTGTGTTTCTATTTCTTTGCACAAAAAAAGTGTCATCTGTATGAAAAAGCTCATCATGTGTCTTGTATGACTTTGCAGTGGCAGCAAGCAGCTGTGCAGCCGTGAAGTAGCATCCTACTCTTTAAGGAATACAGTAAACGGCTACTCAGAGCTGCAGTCGTCTGTCCAGGAGGAGACCAGTTACGACATCTTCTGTATTCACTCACAGAACCGTAAGTCATCAAGTCATCAGGTGTTTTCTTCTTTAATAGCTACCACCGTTCCAAATTCTGTTTTTGTATCTCCAGTATTTACAGCATATACTGGATCTTTGGTATGTTTAGTACCACAGACTAGCAAATACTGTCACGTTTCAGAATTTTGGCATCCATTTGGTAGCAAAACAACAGTTCTCGTAACAACTACCCACGAGTAGACTGAAATTAATCTTACTTTTGTATTGAAACGATGAGGTCGGGGTGATTTTTTAAACATTTTCAACAGTTGCAATATTCAAGAAACCTAATTGCTGCAAGGCTCATCTCACACTGACTGTTTGCTCTGTGTAGGTGTTGATGGATTTTCTCATCCACCGCCCGCACTTCCAACTGATGACAACTTTGAGTCGCTCTTTGAACAGTTTACCAGCTATATGTTTGGCTCAGACAGCAGTACTCAGGTGTCCCCTACAGAGTTCCAGGCCTCACCTGGATACCTGGTGAGTCTGTGTTTTGAAGGATTGGCTGTTATTCTGATCGTGAGTATAATTATCGGGAAAGAAGAACAGTAGTAGTCAACAGTTTGGACATTGTAACATTAGATTAAAAGGTTGTTAAAGTAGTTTTATATTGTCTAGACTTCAGAAAAATACTGAAGACATCAACCTATGAAATCACACAAATGGAATTTTGTCGTGAAAAACAGCATAAACCAAACCAAACAATACAAATGACAGCATGTGCGTGAGGCAGCTCCATGATTATTCCAGGTGATGACCTCATGAAGCTGTTTGGAGCAAGAATGAATAGTTTTGTGCAAACTGTTGATTGGTACTGTATGTTCATTCTCTGCTGATGTTTTCTGGTTTCAGTTTGGGGATGTGATGCTGAGAGTGGGAGACAGTGGCCAGAGAGGGATGTTCTGGCTGCCAGCTCCTGGTGTCACTGCTGACTGTGTAGACAACAGTCCTGCAGGTAACGACTTTCTGTTTTTTAATATTAACACGTTGTTAAAGTGCTGATTGCCATCATTAGAAATTGTACAATAATTTGGGGGCCTGTATCGTTCAGTTTAGTATTATTTTTTTAAAGCTTTATTTTTCTGTCTTTCAACTGCCACATGTTATAAATCCACCTGGTATTTGATAAATATTTGTTAACCTGATGTTTATGTTGCATCATGAATGAACTGCATGCTGCGTTTGACATTTTTAGGGTTCGAGCTCTAAAGGACGTAGGACCCTATTGAAACCCTTGGGTTTCTTATTGTTCTTCTCAGCAAAAAAAGAAACGCATTTTTGAGGCCCCAACATGTACGAAAACTCACTAAAATCACCACACACACCAGGCCTCGCGAAAAATTTGATATTTTAAAGGAGTTGGGCCAAAATGGCTCCACAGCGCCTGTCGGAAACACATTTTACCGAGTACTACGCAATTTGGTAGGCATATAGAGCCGGTTGGGACGATCAAAAAAGTCAACAGCTCCAAGCTCTGCAATGCGACACGGCTCAAGTACGCCCCCTACAAAATTTCAACAGTGTTTCATCTGAGCTATGTTTGGCTTAGAGCCACAAAAATCGGAACACATATGGAACAACTCATGACACACAAAAAAGTCCATCAGCATGTTTCTGTGAACCCAACAGGAAATCCGCCATGTTGGAAAAACAGCGAGCATGCCGGGCCATTTTTGCTCAAAAATGGCCATTTTTGGCCATTTTCAAAATCTCTCCTCTCCTTGGGGGTTCGTCGTACACACCTGAAATTTGGCCAGCACAAACTACAGGATGTGGTGATTAAAAGTTATCAAAATGCTTCGCAGATGAGACCCGGTTTGGAAATGGTGGCCCGTGTAATTTCCTTAATGGCCATTTTGCCCATTTTCACGTTGTTTCTGGCGTTTATCAGAGTCCTGTCAGAAGGCCGTTTCACCTACAGCTGCATTCGGTGGGCATGTGTAGCAGGTCAGGACGCACAAAAAGTCAGTCAGCGCCAAGCCCTAACCCCAACAGGAAGTCCGCCATTTTGAAAAAACACAGTGACAATCGATTAAACTATTCATGCCAGCACAGGTGCCTTATAGGTGACCTGTGGGGCGTGGCAGCAGTGGTTCAACATTTTCTAACAGGCCAGTTAAAAATGGTTAATTTATAATTGCCCCCGCAGAGGTTACTGTCAGACATGTCACATGACTGCTGTCATAATGCGTACAGCCTCCTACAAACATGGTGCAAAGTGCAACACAAATAAAAAAGAAACGCAGTAAAGTGTAATTCGTCTGAATCACACATTCTGCCACATCTGACACCTGTTCAGCTCAAATTCAGGACAGCAGTGTAGTTATGCTCCATGACTTTATTTAATCACACACATTATCACCATCAGTGTACCTGCTTTAGTGACTCAGTACTCAGATCTGCTCTGAGTTCTTGCATTGTCTTATATTATTGTAATGCATTATTTCAAACATACTATAGAGTAAAACAAAACAAAAGCCTTTCATCTTTATGGGTGTTGTTTTAGTTTTCATGGTTCTTTTCACAGCGTTCCTGAAGGATCAGAGCAGTCGTTGTTCCCGACGTGTGGTTCTGGATCAGGACTGCAGCTCTCTGCCAGCCCTCAGCGTGGACACCTACACCAACATCCAGCTGTTTGCTGTGAGTCTCACATTCACTTAATTCGTCCCTTAAAGTAAAAATCCATCCTCTTGCTCTCAGATGTTGTCAGTGTTTATGACTAAGTTGTAATGTGATAAAGGTGCACGCTACCAAATTCACAGCACATACGTTTTTCACAAATGGCATCATATTATGTTCATTTAATGATGTTAAACAAAGTCTTTTCTGCTCAACAGGGGAAGGATGTCGATGCAGCAGTAAGTATTCCTACTTTTTGTGTGTACTACCTCTGAAGTAATTCACATCATTGACTGTATGATATAAAACTGACCCGTAGATTAATGATAAACTGACAAAACAAACAAAATGAATGTATTAGACTGGCTCTGAGACGTCATAATCACCAATTGTTTTTAAGGTTATATATTATAGCTGAAAAGATTAAGTTTTAGGCGAAGAAGAAACATCTGCAAAGACAATAATTGTTCTGCTAGTTTACCTGGTCTAAGAGCTGTCATAGAATCAGGGATTAAATGGTACAACTTCACAACATGTTTCTTGAAACAGATGCAAAATATATGATGATAACACCTTCCTGAAAATTGCACCACTGACACCAGTTAAGAAATAAATAATTTAAGAATTTAAAAGCTCTTAAATAAAATCTTTAGGAAGATTACAAGAGCGTAGGGGATATTATTTGTGCAAACAGTAACACAATGAGAAACACAAATACTACAAATCTGGTCAAAACAGACTTACAGTATGATCAGAATGTGGCTTTTTGACATCATATCTCTTGATTAAAAATAAATAAATGAATAAATAATTACAATGTGTAATCATGGAGTTAAAACAGCATTTTAAAAAACTAACTGCAATGATTGTGCTTTAGTAACTAGCTATTAGCTCAAACTAATTCAGCCACCTTATCCTGGTTTTCAAATTTAAAAACTCTGTGTTTAAACTTACTCATCTTAAGAACTTAAATTGTTACGCTACATAAATAACACAAAAACTAACTGAGTGTACATCCCGTGACATTGTGAAATGTGCGTGTTTGGTTTCTCTTGAAGGAGACACGATGCTTTTCCCCATTTTCTGTCATATGTGTAATATTAGACATCTGAGAGCAAAATTTCCAATAATTTTGCAAACATACACCAATCATCAGTGATGTTATAACCACCTGCCTAATAATGTGTAGCTCCGCTTCGTGCTGCCACAACATCTCTGACCGTGAAATTTAGCGGGACAACGTAGAACATAGGCCCCTAAAAACATGCAACTGGCGGGACGTTGCAACAAGCGAGCGCAAACACAACCTTGAGGTTAACTGCTGCAATGCAAAGGCAGGAAAATGACACAACTTTTTTTTACCAAGAAGAAGGAAGTAATCAGTTACTTTCACATAAGCACGGTTGTCACATTTTTGCTTTACATTGCTGTCGACCGAATAGTCTGTTAAAGTGTTGTCGATTGTTTCCCTGCCATTCAGGCACTCACTGGTTATGTCTCTAATGTCAATTGATGTCATAAATGCTTGTATTTTGTCAGAAGGCTGATGTCGATACGATGTGCAAGCTTTTCAAGAGAATCTGTGCTAACTGCTCCACAATGACAAATTACTTGTGTGTAAAAGTTGCCGGTGTTTTGAGGGCATACATTGCATTGTTGCATATGACTTACTTCCAGCAACTTTCATCTCTCTGTAAGTTCACAGAAAGTTGGGGTGAATGGAGTCAAATGAAAGATGCTATCAAAACCCCAGAATACTTTACATGTGCTACAGAAAAGTGAAGGCTGTCTTATTACCCTTTGAAATGCATGGAGGACTAGTTGATGAGGGGGGTGAATGAAGAAAACAATAATGGCTAATGTGTGGGTTCCTGGTGTTGTTGGAGGTTGTTCCTGTGGAGGTGGCTTCAGTCATCCTGCAGTCAACAGACGGCACTCAGACCGAGCTGCAGATCAGTGCTGGGAAAAACCTGAGTCCGGTTCTCCTCAGGCCCAGCCTCTGTGCCAACGTGGTGCTGAAGGTGAGTGTAACAAGTGATTGATTGAAACATTTTTAAAACATATTTGATCATTTTAACTGCCAAAACGTTGCAGTGCAATCCCCTTGTCAGGCTGAAAAATAGCCTGAGAAACATAAAAATATAGAGATTATAGGACATGCACGCTCATTTATTGAGTAGCCGTGCTGCAACTTTTCTCTTTACCAAAGCTCATATTGTTCAGCTTTTTTTAGATTTTTGGACATTAGGTTCTTTATTTACTGAGGTCTCTGTTAAAGGTGGTGCTGTTTGGGACTGTCTTATATTGAGAAGGGTTTCAATTATTGGTCCTTACCATTACAAACTTGAGAGGACCTGTAGCTGATTGCAGCAGTCCTAATGTGAAGCCACACAAATCAGTTCTTAGATGGAGGTTAGTGCTTCCTAAATATCTACATAAACTACAGCCTTTCAGGTGTGTGTGTAGCGCACTGAACCAACAGGCAAAGCTAATGTTAGCTTGTTAGTATGTGACCAGTTAAAGTGTTGTGATGAGAGAGGATGTTCATACAGACATCTCTAAATCGGTCCTTTTTAAAAGTCATACGAGCTTGTGATGCCACGGTTACTGGTTGGATTGGTTGTGATTGGACGAGCTGCTACCAACCAATTTACACATTACTCAAGTCTTTATCAGCTTAGATACTTCTCATGTTTTATTGTGCAATTGAATTCAGTTTTTAGTCCACTGGCCTGTTGGGCTGGTTTAAATGTGACTCTTCAATTTGTCTCATTCAAACTAGACACTTGAAGAAACTACCCCCAAGCTACCACAAAACTAAGTCCTACTGTGTTTCTATAATACCACAGAGTGACGCCTTCTAAATATAGTTGATGTTAATTAGATCTGGAACATCAGCGTCTGTGTTGTGAAAGCAGCCACAGGAGAACACCATCCTCTAACTGTGCCTTCAGTTATGAAATAGATATTTAATAAATACCGCTGTGTGACCGGGTCAACAAAAAAAAACTCACGTTAAAGTCAGAATTAAAGTAGCTTTAGTGCCAAAGCTGATACTGGATTGCACTGGACTTTAAAAGACTACCTAATAAAAGTGACCACAGAGTGTAAATGCTAAACAAATATTGTTTAAAATGTTTATTGTAGAGTTTACAAATGTACTAAGTCATTGTCTGCTGAACCAATGACACACTTCTGTCTCCTCAGGTTGTCTATGTGATGAAGTACAACCCAGGTGGTGAGATAGTAAATGCAACAGCGTCTGTGGTGCTTGGATTTGTCAGTGAAGACATGCTGCCTCTGGAACAGGAGTTTCACATCACATATGTCCAGGTAGTGAAGCCCAACAAGACATTATTTATTGTATATGTTACTGATGACATGTTCTTTCTTTTTCTTCATGAGGAAATCCTAGTATGCACTAAGAACCTAATGACTAAATGGGCTCACCGCTGTGGGTCCATTACCTAACCGACCAAACAGCTCTGACTTTACAGCGATGTCTGCTAATATACTGTAGAAGCAAAGATCAGTGGCTGTGGGCTTTTCTACGTTCCTGCAGAAGGGTTTAAATAAGCTTCATTATTTAGCTCTGGCAAAAGGTACACAAAAGCAAATAAACAAAACGAAGGAAAATGTGTTATTGGTGACCCTGAATCAGAGTAATGTTCTCTGTCTGGCTTCTGTTATCTAGGAAGACGGTGGTGAGGCGACTGTCCGCTACAGTGGAAATCCAGGTTATGTCGTGGGACTACCTCTTGTGTCTGGAACAAAAACAGCAGAATATCCTTCAGCTGAATGGTGACTTTCCTTCACCCTTAAACACAGGAGGAATCTATGGAAGCCCAGTAAATGGAAAAAAGTTATTGAAAGCAATTCGTCCTGATAGCAACATTTAGTTTGACCTATTAGTTAAAAATGGTCAGAATCAAGACATAAAAAGACAAAGTTCTCAGATTAAAGTCAAAATGTTGACACTGAAAATCAGTATTTTAACCTGATAGCTGAATGAGAGAGTCTACATTTTGACTTACCAACACTTACTAGCTGAAAAAGTCCAAATTACAAAGCAAAAGGACAGAATTTTGAGACTTTGGAATTTAATTTAATTTAATTTAATTTAATTTAATTTAATTTAATTTAATTTAATATTATAATTTTTTAAATGCACTATGGGCCTAATACACCATTAAACAGCTCACTCAGTGGTCAGTGGAGAAGACTTAGACAGTGGTTGATGAGAAGGGCAGGATGCTCTGAGTGCTCCAAGAACCAGGATTTGTCCTTGACCATCTTCTCCACCGGGATCGCCAGAAGTGTCGAGCCCACAGACACACTGTCTTTGCTCCACAGTGCTGAGGACCAGGACTGTTTGCAGGGTCCACACCGGCGCTCTCCTGTCTTGTTTGGTCACAACTCCGTGTCTGGCTGCACATTAAGGCACAGCAACCTCACATTCAACAAACCCCATAGCGGTAAACCAGTGTGTCTTTATATATTTCTGACACTGCCTTGTCTTGTCCCTGCAGACTGAAGGACGCTGAAAACTGCTCCCTGGTCTCTCATCTGCTTCTGAACGTTCTGAGAAGACCAAACTATCCCCAGTACGTGGCTTCCTTTGGAAACTCCCCGTTAGACAATCCGCTGGACTGGGTGCAAATCAAGAACAACTTCAATCCTGGGGTGAGTGCAGCTACAAAATAGACTTCTGTTTGGTTCAGTGTTTTAATCACCATCCAGGAGACATGAAGCTCTCATGATCTTTACATGAGTCATGGGGCACAGTACTAACTGTTGATTAAAAATCTGACAATAAGAGTGAGTCAGTGTGGTCTGTCTTTGACCAGATGTAGGCTCCCTCCAGACCACACATGTAATGATTTTAATTAAATACCATAATTCATTGTGATTGGTGTGTATTAGATGTCTGATTATTAAAATTGTCTACTGTGTGTGTGGGAGGCTGTTGTAGTTAGTTGAACTGGTGAGCATTCTGAGAAGACTTCATGATGACCTACACGGAGGTCTCCGGTGGCCCAGTTTAATCCTGAGTCAGGGTGTGGAGGTGAAGCTGCTGTCCAGTACTATGCTTGTCATGTGGTTTTCGGTTCCTTCCCACTGTTGCGGACTGCTGAAGCTTATAGGGAATCCAGAT